ACAACTCTGTTATTTGCTTTGTAAGCCCTCCCAAATGATCTCAGAATTTATATGACTATTGTAAATAAGAGTCATCTTAAGTAGTTTTTAATTTGTAGTATTTTTTTTATTGCGTTAAGAATCTATCCTTCTATCTATCTAATCTATCTTTTACTGCAGATAGAACGATGAAACGTTGGATTTTCTAGGATGTGATGCTTGCCAATGCTTGTTATGAGTCAAATGACAAACACATTTTCATTTCGTCAGTGATGTACAACAAAAACGGAAATTGTTGTAAAGGTGCATAATTTCAAGTCTAATGAAACCAGTGATTTTAAAGTGTACCTATGATTGTGCTACTTAATTTTCCAATATTTCGCTTATTTCTACAATTTCTATCTCCACAGGATCGCCACGTGTGGTCGTTTAATAACACGGCCATAACCATAACAGCCTTAATAATCCGCAGTAATGCTACCAATAGCCGTTGATCAATAATCGGATCACTGATTAAACGACCAAACCCCAAGTTAAACACTATTAGATTCCCCCATTGCCTCGTGCCTTATGATCCCTTCCTCTGTTGGATTCTATGCATTACCGTAGATAAATTACACAAAATCCTTGATAACCTATAGGCACCGTGGTACCGGTACCATTTTAACGCGTCGGTACCGATTACCTGTACATTGTAAAATAGTTGAAAAAACCCGACACTTTTACCTAGAACCGATGGTGCTTGGAATCATTTTTTAGGAAACACACATCACTGTAAGTTTGTATCCAGGATGGCCTGTATCGCTTGTGAGTTTATGCAATCTCTTAACGGTTAATATACAAAATGCAAAATAAACGGTTATACCACATATTTACTCTAATTTGTGGTTTTACCTAGTTAGCGAATTTACCTATAGAGAAGTACCATAAGTACCAAAGTGAAAATAAAAGATTTATTTTCAAGCTCTACAAACTGGTTTGGAAAATAAGTTGCGATATTTTTTTATTTGGGACCAAATATGGAAGACTCTATTTTTTCACCATAAAACCTCTTTGCCATAGTCTGAGAATGTTTGAATCTGAACGGATGGTAGTTACTGCTTTGGGGCCATCAAAACGAAAAATTAAATTGGTCCCGGGTCTAGGTCTTGCTATGAAACCTTCGGTAGTTGCATATTTGTACGGGAAGTTTGCTAACAAACTTAATACATGCAATGGAATGTGCAGATCACTTATACTATTTAAAGTAAAAGGTTTTACTGTACATCTAACCAAATCATCAATGCAAATTACTATGTTATCTACAGGGATAGAACGCTTATCCTGCAGATGTATATTATCCACGCCAACTCAGCCTCCCATTTACTCGAAGGACCAACGTTATGGTGGTAGTTGTCAGGGATGGTGAAGGGGAGGGGGTTCCGGGGTTCTGATTAAATTGGCAAGGTACCAGTTACACGGCAGATGCCTCCGTTTTCACGCCCTCTTGATCAATAAGCCGCAGTGGCCGTGAATAAAGCCACAACTGCCTTCCCTCTACTGGCGGCTCGCCGTTTAGTTGGCTCTGGGGAAGGGTTCAGTATTGCCATCTGGGATAGTTCGCGATTTCGTTGAGTGTCAACGTAGACAAAAAGAATTAAATATAGACTGTTATCCCTGCTGTAGTTACCATGGTTACCATAGGTTCTGGCGCACACCGCTGCGAGCGCCGTTTAGTTACGTAGCACGTACGCCGTAACTACATGGCGCACCCAGCGGTGTACGCCAGAACCTATGGTAACCGCAGCACGGCTGACAGTCTTAATTCTTTTTGTCTATGGTGTTTACTTATTGTGAATTAACCTAATGGTGTCTTCCACGTTGGGGTCAGTCCCTTTTTTGATCAGGCTATATTGCAGTCAAATGTAGTTATACGAGACGAGGGCTCCTAGGGGTCGGAGGGTTTTTAGTTTGCAGTCAGGTTACAGATAAAAAATTATATACAAGTTTCCGATAGGTTATGTTGTGTTTAGTGAGGTAGGTTAACAAAACATAACTTTACTTTGTGTCTCAAAGTCAATAAATCAACAAAACTACGAAAAATATCAATAAGTTACCATGGGATGACTCACTTAACCTTTCAATATTTACCAAAACTATAGTCTATGTGATGGAACCTACCTCTTCAACCTCCTTCTAGCTGGGGACTGGCCAATGGTTTTCCGATCCAGCTCCAGGTAGATGGTGGGCGAAGAGTCAGGTTATATCATACAGAGTATAGCTGTAATAGGATTTTATGTATCGTCCAGTTTAGTTTCGTTATGGGCTTTATTTTTGTCTGGATAATTTTTGACACGAATTCTAGCCTTGCCTCTTGACCAAGATACAATAACTTGTGTAAGCAAAATCTTCAATGGTTTATGTAATTGTAGCCTACCTTAAAAAAGAATCTTGCCAAATTTAATCTGTATCGAACTTTTACCAACAGTTTTTGGGTTGCATGGTTACAAAACATGTGTTTAGCAAGTTGAGGATACACAATTTGTCCTTGTGCAATATAGGTGTGGACCATTTTCATTAATAAAGAGAATATATTAATAACTTCTGAGAAAAGTCAAATCAATAAAAAGCGTTATTTTTCTAGTGTGTTGGCTTTAGTGGACACAAGTACAATTGAGTTTGACGTCATCATTAAATTTGAAGTAAATCAGACTAAAATAAATACGGAATGTAAAAAGAAATGTGGACACATAATTTACGTGGTGGTTCCTTGGGTCAAAATAAGCATAAAAGTTCTCAACTCTATAGTTGTACAGTTGGTAGAGTAGTTATGCCAAAAACGTAATCCTACTTAAAATAAACAAATTCCATAAAACAACCGGAATCACTTGATGCACCTTTCAACGCTGATTGTGACTTTCAGTAATCAAAAGTAAATGGGAAATAAGTAAATCAATTATATAAATCCGCAGACAGAGGGTGCATGTGTGGGGTGGCATCGATGTTAATCTGTTGATTTATTGTTGTGGATCTGCCGGGGTCATTTATGGTTAGGGGTTAATATGGAGTTGTCCAAATATTGCGGCTTTGTACGTCTGTTATTGTAAAAGTTTAATATGTATATAGAATACTGTTAAGGAACTACTGGTATATGATTACCAATGCTTGATTTCCTACTGATTACCATTTTGGAGGGTCTTATTTTTAGTTTTGAGGTTTTTCTTTGAAGCCAGATCTGGATGGACGACTTCTTTGGTAATCGGACGCTATGGAGATGACGGTATTTTTCTGGGGCTTGAAAAATGTTATAAATCAGTTTTGATTTTTCAAGCATTTCAGTTAATAAGTTTGACAGTATAAGGTAAACAATATACAAGTTTCTTCAGATTTTGGTGGTCTCCCCTACGCTCTGAATTTGTCCATCCACATGGGGCTCAGGTATGCATGTGAACCATTGACTGTAGGTGTGACCCATCGATATATAACTAGTTATATATCGATGGTGTGACCACCAGGGCCACATCGGTTCTTAATATGGCCCTAACGTTGAAACAATTTATAGTAACTCATCAGAATACCTATTTTCAGAAAGTTTAGAAACTTATCTTTATAATATCAACCTTTTGTCACATGATTGAGAGCAAACTGTGTCTGTGCTCAAATTCCACTTGGATTCAAACCAGCAACCTTCAGCTATGAAGCTAAACACCTGACCAAAGACGTACATCTTAATCTAAGCACTACACAGTGTAACCCCCCGTACTCCCGCCACCACAAATCGTAGCGTCATCTGTTACATATTCAATCGCGGCGCTTAAAGGGCAAAATGGGACAAGTAGGCTGACAAATTGACAAACAGCACTTCACACGACCCCCGTGGAGGGGCGGGGGGGGGGGGGTAAGTATCGGGGCGGGATTACGGAGCTTCCCCTGTCAATAATGAATATGTAATAAAAGAGGGCCGTAATTTGTTTGCGAGAACGACCAGCTGCGTTTAATCCTCGCGACTCATCCAGTCCGTTAATTGAGAGAATTGAGCCGCAGTCCGCGGGGAGTTCGAGGATTTGAGGACAGTTATCATTTCATTATCAATTGAGATGGGGACGCTACCTATGAGAGTATCTTAACCCAAATGAGTGAAGGATGAGTGTAGAGTGAGATGATCTGTGTAGCTTTTTTACTGACCAAGATCAGCTGTTTCATTAGCATTAGCCAGGATCATCCATATAAAGCCCAAAGTACTCATGAACTTTTGAGAAAACTACAAGTCACACCCCCATAAAATATATACTTGAAATGTTCTTCATGACGAGAAACCTTGCTCAAAACTATCCATCATTTCATAAATTGTGTAATTTCTTTCTTAAGGGAACTTTCCATGTACCTAGTGTTAAAAATACCTCAGCTGTACTCATTGGTATGCTATTCTTTCAATTTATTACCTTGTTAAAATCAGGTGTGATTAGTTGTTTGGGTTACTGTATTCTGTTTAGTTTATTTCAGCCCTAACGAATGAATAGTTTTATTAATGCTTATTAAGTCAAACGGGGTGAAGCAAGGGTGAAGCCCGTGGGTAACAGCTAGTTTATTTAAAACCTAATGATCAGGGACAGTTGGGTCCAGTTTCTAATAATCAAAATGATACTACCTTTCTACGTACCTTCTTACAAAATGATAATACTCTTTATAAACTGGCCTAAATTGTTAAAGATACATTATATCGCCTACTGCTGCCTACTAAGGACCTGAAAAATACAGTTGAAGAGTTTGGGAGTCCTTGAGATTAAAAAATACAGTGTCCAATTGAGATAATTGAGCCGCAGTTGCGTCCGATGAAAATTTGAGGACGTTATCTCCTTAGTACGTTGAAACTGTGGAAAATTTGCGGACATCTTTGCAAAACGTGGACACGTTTGGTTCATAATAAAAATATGAAACGTGAACAATATACCGAATTAATATTTTGTCATACATCTAAACTTTACACGTTTTTGTCTTAAAACTTACCTATCTAATTTGAGTTTTTCACTCTATGTCCACAGGATAACTTCCATAGTTGAAGAAGTGAAGAGGAACGAAAACTCATCACATTTAGACCAGGTAAATCTTTCTTATGTTGTAGTTTAGGTTGTTTTGCAGTCCCTGTGAATTCTACTATTATATTTCGGCAGCATGTTGATTTTATTGGTTTTTGTCTGCTTTATACATCTATTTTGATTAATAAGATCCATGGTTCACTTTACAGCTTAATGATATAGGCATAGGCCTACGCTATAAATTGTGTATTAGTAGTGACGGTTAACTGATTCAGATATTTTCCCATTTCAGAACGTTGGAACGATTACTTTACACCTAGATTAGGGACCAATATAATCAGTATCACTGGAACTTAACCTGTTACTTTTCTTAGAGTAGAGACATAGGGTTTGTTCTAGTTTACAGATTCAAATGAACGTGCCTGTTACGTTTACCTGTTACTTATATTTACCTGTTATTCCTCATCCGTTGCAGGATGTTGGAACAGTTACTTTGGAGCTGGAGAAGGGTGTTTCCAGAAAGTGCTTGGAACTGTTCCTCCAGAGATTACTGTGGGAGAAAACCGTTGTTGACAAAAAAGGAAATCCGTCCACGATAATTCGGTTTAAGGTAAATCTAATCAGGTTATTTTATAGAAACATTAAGTAAGAATTAGTGCAATAATTTTCATGTTTTTGTTGTATGTTTGAATACTTTTTCTTGTGTGTCTATTATAAGTGGAACTCCAATTAATGTTTTTGTAGAGCAAAACTAGAGCTTAATTCAGCACACTACTATATTAATTTTGTTTTTGTTTAATCAGAGTTTCAATTATTTTATTTATTCCTTATTTCATGTATTTATCTTTATTTCATTAAGTGTATACATGATAAACAAAATGAACTGCATGTATACACTCTAGTAGGTCTACATTCAGTACCTTCTAAACCTTATATTGTACTTCACACAATTCCACTAAACATCAACAAGCGTCTTACTAATGAATAACTTCTTGATCAGCATCGTGCGTGTTATTAAGTTACGTGAAAGGAAAAAAATGTCAAAAACACTTGTAATAATATATTTACACTTTTTTGCCCACAAGACGGTAAATTGGTAACATATGAAAGATGGTAAGTGGTGATCGATTTCGATTGGACACTCCATTCACTCCAATCATCATCAGATCCAATAGGCGAATGACAAGAATTATAAGGGACGCCATTTGAGATTCTTGTCATTCGTCTATTGGGTCTGATGATGATTGGAGTGTCCAATCGAAATCGATCACCACTTACCATCTTTCGTGTTTTAACCGTCTTGTGAGTAAACAGTATAAGTGTGCATATATTATTACTAGTGTTATTTGACGTTTTTTTGTACTTTTCTAATGGTAAGAGTTATTGACAAATTGGAGAAATAATGTGTCAAATTGCTGATACCTTCCACATGTCACTACAGGTAGCCCAGTTCGTTCCCACCAAAGTGTGCAAACACCCTCCCTTCCCGACATCCGTCCATCTCTCCCATATTAACTGACAGTCTGATCGCAGTAAACAATATTTGTGCTGGATGAATAGCAAATTTGTGTTGAATCCAGAGGGTCGGATGAATGGTGCGGCTCAAAAACAGGATTTGGATTTGCCCTCGTTCCAAAATGGCGTCTCTCCTTGTGTCCACAATTATCATAGCTTGCTAAACAGTAGAATGTCCCCCGATCTAGCAGGGGTAGTTTTGGTGTGTTGCGTGTTGCCTAGGGGTGGATTGAAGGGGTTGATTTAGGGGTGGTTTTAGGGGTGGTTTTTTGGATTAGGGGTGGTTTTTTGGATTAGGGGTGGTTTTAGGGGTGGATTTAGAGTAGGGGGTGGTTTAAGGGGTGGATTTAGTGTTGGGGGTGGTTTAAGGGGTGGATTTAGTGTTGGGGGTGGGTGTTGGAGTTGGGGGGTGGGGTGGGGTTGTTGTTTTTGGAAGGGTTGAAGACTGTGTACTCTTATGTTAATATAAATTTAATAATATTTAATTACTTCTTTGGTGTTCCTCTATGATTTATGAATTATCTTTTATGGTATTGAAATTAACGGAAAAAAATATTTGAATCAGGTGTTTTCTGATTGGTTGAAAATAAGCTCGCTTCTGATTGGTTATAAATAAGTGACTGTGGTATTGAAATTAACGGACAAAAATATTTGAATTAGGCGTTCTCTGATTGATTGAAAATAAGCTCGCTTCTGATTGGTTATAAATAAGTGACAGTTGTATTGAAACTAACAGACAAAAATATTTGAATCAGGTGCTCTGTGAGTGGTTAAAATAAGCTTGTACCTGATAGGTTATAAATAGGTGATCTGTGATTGGTTGAAGGGTATATCTGTGAGAGAATTAAAAATCCTGGTTCACTCTTACTTTGGCGGTGTTTATAGGTGTAGTTCTTTTGCTCTGTGACATTTGCTGAATTGTGTGTAGTGTTCTTCTGTAAAAAGGTTATCGTTGTGAGTAGTAATATTAAGTTTTCTTTTATGGTGTATTAATTATGTTTGTAAATAGTAGTGATATTTAGATTTTCCTTAATATTTGTTGTAATGGCTTCTGCTGTTGAGCCAGTTGAAACTATTAGTGAGGACCAGTCCTATGTTAAGAAATTTAGACTTTATGGGACCAAGACTATATTTAAATTTTCTAATCCTCCTCCTGAAACTAGTGAGTTTGATTGGCTTAGACAGGGATTTGCTTCCATTGTAAAAAAGATGAAAGATCAAGCCCATGATAATGACCAGCTCGGGTTTACCCTTCAAAGCCTTAATCTTAAAGGTAAAGATGGATATGTAGCGTTTCGACCTGCTGGGGAAATTGACGAAGATGTGTTGTGGCAGATTTTTGGGGGTATTGTACAAAGTAATTCCGAATCTATCAAGTCAACGGATACCTTTAAAGTCGAGTGTACGCGAGTGAATCTCCCTGTAGGTTCGGGTACCCGTAAAAGACCTGGATTGTATAATACTTTTGATGAGGAATGTAAGGCTAGGACTGGAATTGTTGTGATAAAAAATAATGATAATTTGTGTCTCCCTCGTGCCTTGGTGGTAGCTGTTGCTCATGCAATTAAAGATCCTCTATATAAAGCGATTCGCCAAGATGATAGGAAAAGGCAGACAGTGATGGCGCAAGAGCTCATCCGGAGGGCTAGGGTAGAAATGCCTGAGAATGGTGCTGGAATTCTTGAACTAGAAAGGTTTCAAGATCTGTTGACCGATTATAAAATCACTGTTTACAATTATGATAGGAAAGGGCGTGATGTGTATTTTGAGGGTCGTCCAGAGAATGCTAAATCTAAAATTAACTTGATTTTCTGTAACGGTCATTTCAATGTCATTACCAGTCTAACTGCTGCTTTTGTTTGTAAATATTATTGTGAAGCCTGCTATGTCCCTTATGATCATAAAACTGAACATAGATGTTCCAATATTTGCTGCTACTGTCTGACCATCTCACCTCCTTGTAAGTTAGAACATGGGGGAGTAACTTGTCCAGAATGTAATATTATTTTAAGAAATCAAAGGTGTTTCATAGCCCACAAAATTGATAAATGTAAAAAAGTGAAAAAGTGTCTTGATTGTGATAAGTTGGTTATGATTAAGGGAAGACCTACACCTCATAAGTGTGGTGAGGTTTATTGTAAACCTTGTGAATCTTTTCAGGATCCTAATCATAAATGTTACATGAAACCCAACGAGGGTAAACCTACATCTAAAGGTTATCTGTATATATTTTTTGATTTGGAAACCCGTCAAGATGAGCCACTCTCCACTGATCCTGACCAGAAAGAACATAAAGTTAACTTGTGTGTTTCACAACAGTATTGTTACCAATGTATTGAGGCTAAATTTTGTATTGCTTGTAAAAACCGTACGAGAGTCTTCAACTCTAACCCGGTTACCCAATTTATGAACTATGTAATGGAAACCCGTAAACAGTTTAAACATGTTTGTGTAATCGCCCATAATGGTCAGGGTTTTGATTTTCAGTTTTTGCTTAAGTATATGCTTGAACGAACAAAATTCACCCCTGAACTGATCATGAGGGGTACAAAAATTATTTTGATGGAAATGGACAACGTGAGGTTTGTGGACTCGCTAAGTTACTTCCCCATGGCCCTCGCTGCACTCCCTAAGGCTTTTGATCTGCCTCCTGAAAGAAAGAAAGGCTACTTCCCCCATTTATTTAACACTCTTGCCAATCAAAACTATGTAGGCCCGATGCCTGACAAACAGTACTATTGTCCAGAGACTATGTTTGAAAAGTCCTACAGGGATTTTGAAAAGTGGTATGATGAACGAGTGGCTGAGAATTATGCTTTTGACTTTAAAAAGGAGATCTTAGAATACTGCATCTCAGATGTGGAAATTCTAGCACAAGCGTGTCTTAAGTTCAGGACAATATTCCTCCAAGAGTGTAATGTTGATCCTTTTTTGGAAGCTGTAACTATTGCTAGTGCATGTAACTTGGCCTTTCGTAGAAACTTTTTGAAACCAAACACGATTGGACTTATTCCTAAGAACGGCTATCGTTTTGTGAATAATCAGTCAGCTATAGCTATCCAATGGTTAAGTTTTGAGGAGGAAATCCGTAAAGTGAGGATAGAACATGCGGGGCGTGGAAAGGAGATTAGTATTTCTGGTTTGAAAGTTGATGGATTTGATGGACAAAGGATCTATGAGTTTCACGGGTGCTATTGGCACGGATGCTCCAAATGTTATCCTTATAACAGAGATGCTCCTCTGAAGGAGGATCCCTCTGACTCGCTTCACTTGAGATATGAGAGGACCAAATCTAAAATTGCTAAGTTTAATGACTATGAAGTAGTTGAGATGTGGGAGTGTGAGTTTCGTAAGTTAAAAAAGGACCGAAATCTAAAACACTTGGAAACACTCCCTATTCTTAATAATCTTCCTTTGGACCCTAGACAGTCTTTCTTTGGAGGCAGAACAGGTAATGCTAAAACTTACCACAAGTGTGGGAAAGGGGAAACCATTGAATATGTTGATGTTTGCTCTCTTTACCCATATGTATGTAAGTATGGTAAGTATCCTATTGGTCATCCTACGATTTATGTGGGAGATAATGAGTGCAGACAGCGAGGCTTACATGTAGATGGTCTGCTTAAGTGTAAAGTGCTACCACCAAGGGATCTTTACCATCCTGTCCTTCCGGCAAAGATAAACAATAAATTGATGTTTGTCCTATGCAACACCTGTGGGAATTCTCAAAATCAGGGTGAATGTGAACATGAAAGTGGAGATAGAGCTTTAATAGGAACTTGGACTATGGATGAAATCAGAAGGGCAGTGGAAAAGGGCTATGTAGTTTTGGATATGTATGAGCTGTGGGAGTATGAGGTAGCCACATATGAAAACGGGGGTTTGTTTACAGATTTTATTAATAAATTTTTAAAGATGAAACAGGAAGCTTCGGGGTACCCTGGCTGGTGTCAGACTGAAGATGACAAAGATAAATATATTGAAGATTATTTTAGGCATGAAGGTATCAGATTGGACAAAAGTAAAATAACAAAGAACGGGGGGTTGAGATCATTAGCCAAACTAATGCTTAATTCATTTTGGGGTAAATTTGGA